AAACACTACGATACTTTGAAGTACAGTGTTTAGCCTTAGTTGCATCTGACATGTGACGAGTTTGTAAATGGCATCTTCCTTGTAAATTAAGTCATTCCTCTTACATCTGTGAAGTGGATACATTTGGAGTTGAATCTTGTTTGATCAATAAGATAATACCTTCACAGCTCTCTCCACTTTTTCGAATAATTATGGGAATAACCATAAATATTAATTCCTATTCAATATGTATGTACTCTGGAATCCCAGGATATGAATAGCAATATCTTATTATACAAGCCAGAGTATTCGTTAAGTGCTTTTGGGTAATCTTTAGAGAGTACATTAAAATTCAAATGTTACTATGCATATGAGTAGTCTGCAAAACTCAAAGAAGTGTTTCAGAAATAACTGTTGAATAACTTCCTGGAGTAAAACCATATTAATCAAAACATCAAAATTAGCATTAGCATATAAGCAAGGAAGGCTAAGTGATTATGTGCAGCCAAGTGACTTTACAACAAACCCAAGAGATGGATATTTTCATAAAAGATAGATACTCATGTTACATGCTACAATGACAGAATTATAACAATACAATATTTTGCCAATATAGCTCTCCTACTTCACTGTCACTGGTGCTTTGCTTTTCAATGTTTTTTTAAAAAACTGTTTAATTTTGTTCTGTTTATAAGCTAGTAGATTATTTACATACTTCAAGAAACACCATGAAAGAGGCTGTTTTAAAGATACTACTATGAAATTTGATACTTTCAATTTATCTCTATTTAAAAATTGTTTAAATGATCAGAGGCACAGAGAAAGAGGGAGAGATTGCAAGGAATCTCTCCAGTAGTCTGATTCCCAAATTCCTAAAATAGCCTGAACCGTATCATGCCAAAGATAGGAGCCAGGAACTCCACCTAAGATTCCCATGTTAATGGAGAGGACCCAAGTACTTGGACAATCATTTGCTACCACCCCAGGTGCATTAACAAGAAGCTAGATCAAAGGTGGAGCAGAATCCGCATCAAGCACTCCAATTAGAGATGTTGGCATCCCAAGCACAGGATAACCCCTGAACCACAACGTACTCCCCCAAGGTTTACCTTTTTTTTTATAAGCCATAAAATAAAAACTTAGTGATACATAATCATTTAATCTTCTTTTCTTATATACTGATAGTAATTTAAATTTGTTTACTAAGATTTTATTCCATGAAGGTATTTAACAGTGATTTTCAAATCACTTCTACATTTTGTAAACTACTCGTATGTGTAGTAACATTTTCTTTTATGTTGACTACAGGATAATTCAATTTCTTCCCTTTAAAAATGTTTCTGGTTATATAAGAATCTTTAGCTAGCTCCAGATCACAATGATTTTTTTCCTTGAGTTTCCTTCTAGAAGTTGTATTATCTTACATTTTATATTTATAAAGCAATTTTGTTTAACTTTTATAAAAATATGAGATATAGTTACAGACTGATTTGGGGGGCATATATGTGATCAGTTTTTCTAGCTTCATTTGTTACAAAGTCTAATCTGGGACAGCACTGTGGTGTAGTAGGTTAAGCCTCTGCCTGTGGCACAGGCATCCCATATGAGTGCTGGTTTGAGTCCCAGCTGCTCTTCCTCTGACCCAGCTCCCTGCTACTGGCCTGGGAAAGCAGCAGAAGGTGGCCCAAGTGCTTGGGCTCCACACCCACATGGGAGATCCAGAAGAAGCTCCTGGTTCCCGGCTTCAGATCAGCCCAGCTCTAGCTGTTGCGGCCATTTGGGGAGTGAACCAGTGGATGGAAGACCTTTCTCTCTATTTTTCCCTCTCTCTGTGTTTCTAACTGCTTTTCAAATAAATATACAAATATTTTAAAAAGTTTAAATTTTCTTCCTTGTTTTGTTTTCACACCTTGGCCAATAATCAGTTAATACACTTGCATAATTCTATTTCTGGACTACTTGTTCTGCTTCTTTAACCTCTGTTTCTATCATTCTGTCAATACTACAGCATTTTATCACAGTCCTTGTTAACAAGCCTAAAGGTAGGTAGCACGATTCTTCCTCCTTTTTCTTCCCTTTCAATATTATAACTGGTACAATTCCTTTGCCTTTCCATATGAATTTTACAACTGGCTCATGAATATTTATAAAAACAACTGATGGGATTTTGATTAGTGTTGTGTTGAATGTATAGATCATTTTGAAGAAAATTAACATGTTTATTATATTGAATATTCAAATCCATGGACATGAAATATTTCTATTTATCTCTTCCTTGATTTCTTTCATCAGAATTCAGTAGTTTTTAGCATACATATTTTGCACAAGTTTTGTTAGATATGTTCATTACATATTTCATATTTTGGACTGATCATGGCTGGTTTTCTTTTTCTTTTAAATTTTGGTTTGTGATCATGTATTACTAGAATATAAATATATAGTTGACTTTCACACATTGATTTTGTACCCTGTGAACTTGATAAAGCCACTTATTGGTCCCCAGAGGTTTGGGGTATGTTAGCTTTCTGTAACTTCCTTTCCCAAAGCAGTAAAATCATGCTATTTCATACTTCATATTTCATATTAAATCTATGATACATTTATATGGATAGTATATACACATTTATATAGATTTAAAAACCTAGAAGCAATTAATAGTGATTAATGGGTTTCTCAGCTGAAACTCAAGCATACCCCAGGTTTTTATATTATTTATTTGAAAGGTAGAGAGGACAGAGATAGACAGATATATAGAAACGTCCCAACTTCAAGTTTACTCCTCAAATGCCCACAACAGCTGGGACTGAGCCAGGCCAAACCAGGAGCTAGGACCTCATCCTGGGTCTTCAAGGTGGGTAGCACAGACCAAAAGGACTGAGGTATCACCTACTGCCTTGTAGCGTGCACAGTAGCATGAAGTTGGAATCAGGAGCCCAGCTAGGTCCAGAACTCAGGCACTGTGATGTGTGAGGCAAACCAAGTGATATTTTAACTGACAGACCCAATACTCACCCAGTCAAGGATATTTTAAATGAAAAAAAGCAATGCATAGAGTAATATTGGTTCTCTACCTGCACTCGAGAATTGTGTTAAAAACTCAGAGGATAATAGGTATAAAAGCTCTTTAAACCTTGAGAGAAAGTTTTGTGTAAATATTTTTTGTATTTGCATATCCCATATGTATGCTAATAACAAAGTTTCCCTGGAGATGCCTTCCTGCCAGGGGCACTATATATTAAAGGTGATATCAAGTTATACTTATTATGTGAGAAAATAAAGCAACACTGTTGTATCAAGAGGAATAACATACAAGCTCAAAAACAAAGTCACAAAAGGAAAAATGATGCATTATTGTAATAACATTTTACATTCTTATTGCACATTTCATCATGAAGATTAATGAAACGTTCCCACCAATAATAAATGCAGGAATTATTCAACCTCCTGTCTTAACAAACTGTCTCAAGAAGAGAAGACAATAACTATATTTACACCCACTCAGTTATACAGTTCAATGACTTAGACGAGAATGTCAAACTCTCAAGAAAAATTACTGACTTTCCACGTGTCAATTCAATCAGAGCTCTAGACAGGTGGAAAAGCTGACCCAAGAAAAGAATCAAAATCTACTTAATAGATGTGTGCATCTAGAAATATGATTCTGGCTTTTAACAAATGACAACAGAATCTACGTAATTGGATTACTGTTTGTTGTCTTTTCATTTAGTATAGGAAAAGTCTTGCAAATGTTTCAATATTATTGGCAAAAATGGCAAAAGGAAGAAGATTCAGATTTTTTTCATAGGCAGGCTAACTTTTATAGGATGGAGTGATGAGATTTTTCCCAAGAGATTTTCTTGCTTTAGGAGAATATGAGTCTTACCCAGTCAAACTATTACAAAGCTTTCCATCTTCAGCAAAATAACAACCTCCTTCAGGCATGTTGTTGCTAGGTTACTATTAAATGGAATTACCGTAGTGTAATATATTCATAAAGGAAGAGTCTGGAGATAAGTAAGAAAATAATTATAATAACTTTGTCATGTTTATGCAACTTGATGCATTAATATATATCCAGAGGCATTATTCCAGAGGGTGAGAAGAAAGGTAGATTTATTTTCCACTTTGAATATCCTTAGTGATTCATTTGCTGTCTCTCATATATCCCAAACACCTTGAAAGCATTTCAATTAAACAGGATAATTAATCCATAAGTCTAGACTTCTGAATTTCTCATAATCTATATTGTATCTGATTTCACAAATACTGGCATTTGACAAAACAAAATTATGAATTTTAGATCTCCAGGAGACCTTGACTTCCATTAATTCTAGCCTACAACAATTAGGAGGAAGAGCAAAGTGTATCAGTTTAGAGATTATGTGCTTTCTGTTGAAACACTGCATCAAATGTTTTATCTTCTGGCTTAATATTTTTACTTGCTCTTATACAAGTCACTATTGTTGGTGTATTGTAATCACTTGACAAGTTTTTTTTTAAGCATGTGTTTCCAAAGCTAAATACTTGTAGATGAAGTATGACCTCCATACATCCAAATACATATTTTGAAAGTTCCATCGATACATCTGACAGGCAATCGGAGTAGAGATCTACAGATCAATAGACCATTGGCTAGCAAGAGTATCTGACTGTAGAGTGAAAGAGCATACGTGCATGCACTTAGAATTATGCATTCATTAGTTGTGTTAATATTAGTACAATATCGAGATCACAGCAAGTAATTTGTTCTCAAGAGGAACAGTTTTAACTCTCATATTATTTAATTTATATCATGCACTAGATTTCTCAACCATTTCTCATTTATACTCCAGAAATATATTGCCATGGAAAAATAAATGGATAGATTGAGCATCTAACGCCATCTGTAACATTTTAAAAATAAAGTTAGAACCAAAAGTTGTACCTTGAAAGTGCAAGTTTGGATTTGGATGTTTTTTGCAAGTGAAGGGTAAAAAAATAAATCCTGCCAGGAAGTGAGAAACAGAATTTTTTCCACTTACCCCACTTTCTGAAAGTGACTGTAAAATGTACAAAATCACCACTGACATTCAGGCAGCTCCTGAAAAATAGGTTTGAGTAGGATGGAGGGTTAAATATGAATGGAACCAGTAAATTATGTATGACCAAAAACATAATCCCAAATCATATAGAGTACAGTTGCTTTTTTAAATTTTATTTTCCTATACTGGTTGTTCAATGAGCAGGTACCAGTGTTTCCTTTTTTTTTTTTTTTTCCTATTTCACAAAAAAATGAAATTTTATTCCATGCTTCATAGTAGATATTCAGGCAAAATACTGATAGAAATCAATATCTTTCAATTTATAAAAATTAAAAAAACTAGACAGCTGGAAGGATTTTCAACCATTGAAAGAGAAATCATTATAAATTCCTTCTTTTGCCCTCTTTTAAAACTTTAACCTCTGGTAGAAATGCACCAGGCTTCAAACTAAGTTTTCCTTGAATTCTTCAATGGTAACAACCAGCTGTTGACTTCCTCTGCCTTTCCAGTCCACTGTCAGACACAGATAGCCCAGGTCCGTGTCTCAGAGGAATGCTAGATTGACCTGGGCCTCTCAGAGACACGTCTGATTGCTCCAACCCTTGGGCAAAAGGCCTTGGCACCTTGTACTTACTTTCCCTCCAAATCTGAGATCAAGGTTTCACACAAATCAGTGAGTGGAGAATTTGTGAAAACTAAGTACTTCTGATGGACAACAGTTCCTAATCAGGAGTCACCTATGTTTCAGAGTTTATCATCTGCATTACATTTATATATATGTAAGTGTATTGCAAATCATGGAAGAGAGATGTAGCTAACTGATAACAGCACATTTAAGTTGGTGGTTAAAGTAACTTCACTTGTCTGACAGTGTTTCAATGCGTTATTAGTTTATAACTTAAAAATTTTAATATTTTAATTTTATATAAATTTATAACTTTAATGTTTTAATTTTATATAAACTTTTTATTTAGTATATACTTCCTTTCTTTTAATACTATGGAAGATATCATAAAACAAAGTACCTGATGCTGGAGACTACCAATACTAAGGACATTCTCTGTCTTTGCAAATGGAAATATATCTAAGCTTATTATTTCTGGTTCTAGTCAGAAATACATTTATTATATTGCCTACTAATGCAAAGGAATAAATATTGATGTGTTGGTTTTATAGTTTTGCTGATCAGTTGAAGGGAGGAAGATGTTGTATGTGATTCTCAATTCTTCATTTCTATACCTGGGTTAGAGGGTATATATGGCAAACTTGGACAAACTTTCAAAATCCTTCTCAAATAGTGTGCTAGCTAGCCACTATTAATCTGTGCTTGTGCACCCATACTACCCTATCAAGTCAAGTCTGTTCTGACAGCAAGGGTTTCTTTTTTTTTTTTTTTTTTTTTTTTCACTGGCAAAGTGGACAGTGAGAGAGAGACAGAGAGAAAGGTCTTCCTGTGCTGTTGGTTCACCCTCCAATGGCCACCGCGGCCAGCGCCCTGTGGCCGGCACACCGTGCTGATCCGCAGGCAGGAGCCAGGTGCTTCTCCTGGTCTCCCATGGGGTGCAGGGCCCAAGGACTTGGGCCATCCTCCACTGCACTCCCTGGCCACAGCAGAGAGCAGGCCTGGAAAAGGGGCAACCAGGACAGAATCCGGCGCCCCGACCGGGACTAGAACCTGATATGCCGGCGCCACAGGCGGAGGATTAGCCTATTGAGCAGCGGCGCCGGCCAGCAATGGTTTCTTAATACAGGATACACTAACCATCTGTACTAGGTTTTCTACTGTGAGGGTATATCCAAACAGCTCAGCGAGAGTTCCAACATTACCCAAGTTCTTATAGTGGAAATTTGACTTCTTAGAAATAAGATGGTATCTTAACAGGCACATGTTGAAAGCAAAACATCTGGATGATTAACAATTGGGATAACATCAAATTGAGAAGTTTCTGTACGGCAAAAGAAACAGTCAGGAAAGTGAAGAGGCAATCAATAGAATGGGAAAAAATATTCGCAAACTACGCAACAGATACAGGGTTAATAACCAGAATTTACAAAGAAATCAAGAAACTCCACAACATCAAAACCAACAACCCACTTAAGAGATGGGCCAAGGACCTCAATAGACATTTTTCAAAAGAGGAAATCCAAATGGCCAACAGACACATGAAAAATGTTCAGGATCACTAGCCATCAGGAAAATGCAAATCAAAACCACCATGAGATTTCACCTCACCCCAGTTAGAATGGCTCACATATAGCAATCTACCAACAACAGATGCTGGCGAGGATGTGGGGAAAAAGGGACACTAACCCTCTGTTGGTGGGAATGTAAACTGGTTAAGCCACTGTGGAAGTCAGTTTGGAGATTCCTCAGAAACCTGAATATAACCGTACCATACAACCCAGCCATCCCACTACTTGGAATTTACCCAAAGGAAATTAAATTGGCAAATAAAAGATCTGTCTCCACCTCAATGTTTATTGCAGCTCAATTCACAATAGCTAAGACCTGGAATCAACCTAAATGCCCATCAACAGTAGACTGGATAAAGAAATTATGGGATATGTACTCTATAGAATACTGTAGAGCAGTAAAAAAAAAAAAAATGAAATCCGGTCATTTGCAACAAAATGGAGGAATCTGGAAAACATCATGCTGAGTGAATTAAGCCAGTCCCAAAGGGACAAATATCATATGTTCTCCCTGATCTGTGACAACTAACCGAGCACCAAAAAGGAAACCTGTTGAAGTGAAATGGACACTATGAGAAACAATGACATGATCAGCCCTTGTGTTGACTGTCGAGGAACAACTTAATACTTTATCCCTTTTAGTGTTTTTTGTTCTACTTAATACTATTGGTTGAAATCTTTAATTAACACACAATTATTCTTAGGTGTTTAAATTTAACTGAAAAGTGATCCCTGTTAAATATAAGAGTGGGAATGAAAGAGGGAGAAGTACAGTTCAGCACATGCTCAATCGGACTTGCCCCAAATGGTAGAGCTAGAAACGTGCCAAGGGATTCCAATTCAATCCCATCAAGATGTCATGTACCAATGCCATCTCACTAGTCAAAGTAATCAATTTCAGTTCATAATTGATCATAATGATAGGATTAACAGTCAAAAGGATCACATAAACAAGACTAGTGTCTGCTAATACTAACTCATACAATTAAAAAGGAGAGTACGATCCAACATGGGAATTGGAATACACAGCAGATTCATAGAATGGCAGATGTTAGCTGGCACCACGGCTCACTAGGCTAATCCTCCGACTGTGGTGCCAGTACCCGGGTTCTAGTCCAGGTCGGGGCGCCGGATTCTGTCCTGGTTGCCCCTCTTCCAGGTCAGCTCTCTGCTGTGGCCCGGGAAGGCAGTGGAGGATGGCCCAAGTCCTTGGGCCCTGCACCTGCATGGGAGACCAGAAGGAAGCACCTGGATCCTGGCTTCAGATCTGCGCAGCATGCTGGCCGTATTGGCCATTTGGGGGGTGAACCAACGGAAGGAAGACTTTTCTCTCTGTCTCACTGTCTAACTAAGTCTGCCTTACAAAAATATAAAAAATAAAAAAGAATCAGATGTCCTAAACAGCAAGCTGGCCTCAGAATCAGCCCTTAAGGCATTCAGATCCGGCTAAAAAGCCCATGAGAGTATTTCAGGCATGGAAAGCCAAGACACTGTGACATTGTGGGGGAAAAAAAATAAATGAAAGATCTCTGTGAGTGAGATCCCAGTGAAAAGAACAGGCCATCAAAGAAGGAGGTACTTTTCTCTGAAGGGAGGAGAGAACTTCTACTTTGACTATGACCTTGTCTAAATAAGATTGGAATTGGTGAACTCAAAAGGCTTCCATAGCCTTGGCAGCTCATGACAAGCCTCTGGTGATTACTGATGACATAAACAAGAGTGTCAATTTGTTAAGTCAACAACAGGAGTCACTGTGCACTTACTCCCCATCTAGATCTCTGTCCTTAATGTGTTGTACAATGTGAATTAATGCTATAACTAGTACTCAAACAGTAGTTTACACTTTGTGTTTCTGTGTGGGTGCAAACTGTTGAAAGCTTTACTTAATATATGCTAAATTGATCTTCTGTATATAAAGATAATTGAAAATGAATCTTGATGTAAATGGAATGGGAGAGGGATCAGGAGAGGGGAGGGGTGAGGGCGAGAGGGAAGTTATGGTGGGGAAAAAACCACTGTAATCCATAAGCTGTACTTTGGAAATTTATATTCATTAAATAAAAGTTAAAAAAAGAAAGAAAGGAGAACATCAGGATGATTCTGATGGGTTGGTTATAATTTTCACTGCAATATATCTATCATTATAAATTTATAAATAACAATGATATATTATCTAAAAGTTTAGATACTTTGTGTTGCAGTTCTAATCCCAGAACTCATTAGCTGCCTGACCATCAGCAGGAATATACGTGCCCACAGGTTTATGTTTTTCATGAACAAAAGGGGATTACTAAAATGTTGTCTCCATTTTTTTAATTATCTCTTAAAATTTTTTATACTTTATTTTTTCATGTTATTGTACTGTTAATACAAAGAGAACAGATTCAATCTATTTTATAGATATAATTCTAACAATAGAATAATATTCCCTTACTCCCTTCCACACTTCCCCTCCCTCTCCCTTCTTTCTTTCCTATTCCCCTTCCTTCCTTTCTCTCCTTTTTTATTTTTCTTTAGTTTTTGAGATAAGATGTTTTTAATTAAAAATACAGTCAAAGGCTTAATGCACCACTAAATAAAGAGATCAAGAAGCAAAAAGTAAACAACTCTAGTTCATCAGTGATAAAGGCAAGGGCTATATCCAATAAGCAAATGGAAAGTTGATCATTTTACTCATATATAGTAAATTTTAAAATAACTACAGGTCATTAAAACTATAGTAGTACACTATTTTAAAAAAAAGATTTATTTATTTATTTGAAAGGCAGAGTTATGCAGAGAGGACAGACAGAGGTCTTCCATAAGCTAGTTCACTCCCCAAATGGCCACAACGACCAGGCAGAGCCAGGCCAAAGCCAGGAGTCAT